GCGTTGTAAGTCCGCAGACATGCCGCTGTGCTACTGGGGGTCGTAGATTAAGGTATTCGATTCACAAAACTTCATCGCACAGTGAAGTAAAAGTTTGATTGATTAACAGTGAAATAAATATATGATTGAACTCTCCGAGAACTACGCAAGGGTTATCTGCGTTAGCCTTCCTAATTTCGAACTTGTATACTATACGGAAGACACCTAGTCAACAGCATCCACCGTCAACTCTTGAAATACTCTAATAAAAATATTAAGGCCCCAAAATGTGAAGTGTACTTTTTTTTTTTTTGCAGTAATAGCCCGCGAAAAATGGACCCTAGGATCCACAGTCCGGCATAGTCACAAATAAGCCAGACCTACAACAAATATTCTAAATAAGACCGAAAGTTATGAAGTTAATGTATGATCAAACACTATGAAGTGAAAACAAGACTGATAACTGAGGTTAAAGTTGATTACCTTGAGATGAAAGTATAACGTATTATTGTGATATAATATTATCAGGTTAAGATATCATTGATAACCGCGAAGTATAGGGAGTATTCTGTAAACTATAAAGGTGAGTTGATTAAGTACTATGAAGTGAAAACAAGACTGATAACTGAGGTTAAAGTTGATTACCTTGAGATGAAAGTATAACGTATTATTGTGATATAATATTATCAGGTTAAGATATCATTGATAACCGCGAAGTATAGGGAGTATTCTGTAAACTATAAGGTGAGTTGATTAAGTACTATGAAGTGATGGTAAACTGATAATTATAAATTACGAGAAAAATTGAATTAGTGAAAGTTATGGTATGACTGAATTCTACGAGGTGAGAGTATGCTTAAATACCATGAAGTATGGTAGTATGAAGTACCAGTATGATTGAATTCTACGAGGTGAGAGTATGCTTAAATACCATGAAGTATGGTAGTATGAAGTACCAGTATGGTTGAATACCATGAAGTATGGTAGTATGAAGTAACGGTATGATTGAATTCTACGAGGTGAGAGTATGCTTAAATACCATGAAGTATGGTAGTATGAAGTACCAGTATGGTTGAATACCATGAAGTATGGTAGTATGAAGTACCAGTATGGTTGAATACCATGAAGTATGGTAGTATGAAGTACCAGTATGGTTGAATACCATGAAGTATGGTAGTATGAAGTACCAGTATGACTGAATTCTACGAGGTGAGAGTATGCTTAAATACCATGAAGTATGGTAGTATGGAGTACCAGTATGATTGAATACTGAGAAATGAGGGCAATATTTAATGTGATGTGAAGGTAACTATAAAGAGTATTATTGATTATTGTGAAATAAAGATATGATTTAACAATAGTAGGTGTAAATACGGTTGATTACTACCAGGCGGATATCTGATTGAATATTACGTGAAGACTGTTTGTTTTTGAATTTCGCGCCAAGCTACACGAGGGCTATCTGCGCTAGCCGTCCCTAATTTAGCAGTGTAAGACTAAAGGGAAGGCAGCTAGTCATCACCACCCACCACCAACTCTTGGGCTACTCTATTACCAACGAATAGTGGGATTGTTTGTTTGTTATGAATTTCGCGCAAAGCTACATTAGGACTATTTGCGCTAGCTGTCCCTAATTTAGCAGTGTAAGACTAAAGGGAAGGCAGCTAGTCATCACCACCCACCACCAACTCTTGGACAACTGTTTTACCAACGAATAGTGGGATTGTTTGTTTGTTATGAATTTCGCGCAAAGCTACATGAGGGCTATTTGCGCTAGCTGTCCCTAATTTAGCAGTGTAAGACTAAAGGGAAGGC